GGCAGCCAAAAACTTGATTATCCAAATAATTTTATTTTTGATCAGCAGTTCCTTTGATCAAATGTCCTGTCTATACCTGGTTGATCAGAAATTCTGGTTTGTTTTTTTTCCTTCATGTGTTTGTTCTTAGTTGCATCTTTTGGAGTCAGATGAATCCAAATATTTTAGCTTGTGCCTTTTGACTCTGTAACTCCAATGGCGTATCTGGACACATGCACTGATCTGCGTTAGCTACTGCTGTCTCCCATCGTTGGCTAATTTAGCTATTTGATTTTGTGTAATATTTAGAAATCCAAATGGTAACTTAATAAACACAAGAAGGAAAAAACAAGTATTATTTCATTACTTGTTTCACAGAAGAACAGACAAAACCACCACTATTATTTCTGTGTTTCACATGTCTTAATTTTTTGGTAAGTTTTTTCAGCGTCAGAGTTTTAGAGGGTAAGGCACAACTATTTATGCCAGAAAAAACAAGTGACATGCCTGCAATTTTGTACTGTCAGAATTTGAATGAAATCATTATTGGTCTTCTAACCTTCAATACCGAACAAGAAACACACAGTATGTATGTACACATTCAACACTAACTCAGATTCTTTTGGAACAATCTATGATTTCATTTAAAGTCAATAAAAAGCTTATGTTCAGTAGATCTATATTAAAAACCTGTGCAATATAAACAGAGGCATAATTTTGTTTCTTTTTTTTACTGGATAATCTACAAAGTGCAGTTATATCTTAAAGCTTTATCGATATTTTTGTATTGTGATCTAAAACATGCTACCATGTTAGTATCTTAACCCTACCAAAATAAAATTATGTTATTAGCCTATTTGAGGGTGATCAAACATTGGAATATGTTGCCCACAGAGGCTGTGGAGTATGCATCCTTGGAGAAATTTTGTCTGGGCATGGTCCTGGGCAGCCTACTCTAGGTGACCTTGCTTGAGTGGGGTGTTGAACTAGATGAGTTGGAGGGTCCCTTCCCCAACGATTCTGTGATTCTTTTAATAGCGTAATCTGAAGATGAGAATTTATGTTCCCATCATACAGTCTCTTGACATAGAGAGTGGGATTTTTCTTTTTGTATAACATACCTGCTTTAAAATTTAGGTAAAAAACTTAAAAAAAATCCAGCAATGACTCCATAACCAAACTGAGTCTCTTTGATAAAGCTGTCATAGAACTGATTGTAATAAAATCTGTCACAGAAAGGTTGTGCTCATCTCTCCAGTCTGTTATAATAACTGATGATTGGATCCGTTGGTAGAAAACTCTATTTCACTTGCTGTTTCTGCATTGTTTTTAACTTTGTGATTGCTACCAAAAAAATGAACAAATGCACTAATTATGCTCATAAGCATAGGAGATTAAAAAGAAATTGAAAGTCAGTGAAGTAAAAGGGATTCAAACATGATAACTTGGTCAAACATTGATGAATACGTCAGAATATCTGTAAGACGTGCCGTGAGCAAGATATTTAGAGAGCCTGTGTGCCCACGGCCTTACTGCAAACCACAGCTGGGGTACCTGAGTTGTTACAACTGCATGGAAGTAATAGCAGGGTCTTTCAAGTCCTCTAACAATTAAGTTACAGTCTCAACAGACAAAAAAAAAAAAAAAAAAAAAAAAAAATTCACATAAAGCTATCTAGCCCTGAGAACATCTAATCTGGGGCCGCCCTGAAAATCTGTCTTCTTATTTTGTGTCTGTCAAAAGGCCTCCTTTACTGGTGCATGCAAGCACATTGCAGAGGATGTGTTTATAAAAATTAACTGCATTTATATGCAATTGCATTGATTGGTTCCTTTAACATATTTTAAAAGTATGTGTTTTTAACAAAAAATTTGGTCTTACTTTCTGTGGAACACATTATCCATTATTAACATGCTATAATACTGTCCAGATATTCTAATATGCTGGAATTTGGGAGCTCAGGTCACACTGCAGCCATGATCAAGAAGCTATAGCTATGAAGTTTTTACTTGGATTCATATCAACACCTCAGGACACTCACCTGTCATCATGGTTGCACCAGCAAAGAGATCAATGCAAGTACCTATGGCACAGGGGCCTGCCTTGTGTTCATGAGATTCTCCATTGCAGAGCATCAAGAGCTCATATCAATCCAGAGTGGGTACACAGAGTAGATATATTAGTTAGCCACTGACAGAACTGGCCAAATGCTAAAAGTGAGCACAGATGATCATCAAAAACATGGCAAAATGTGCGCACTAAATTTATATGTTGCAATGCTACTGAGAAAAACTGTTCCTTCTGAAATACTCGGCACCATTCCTCACTGTTCCCAACATCCATGCCTACCTGTAAACTGCTCAGTGTTGCCTACAGTGCTTGCCTACACTTTGATTCACAGTTGCAGTTTAGACTTGCATCAGATACTGCTCTGGAAAATACATTGCACGAATTCTGGTGAAAGCAGAGGGAATTGAGAAGCAGCTAGATTTTTGAAGAACACTTTCTGTGCTGCAGATCTCTGATTTTTGTAAGGACAAGCAAGTGAAGACTTACCCTGCTCTTACTACAAAGCAGAGGAAATCACTGGCATCAGATGAGTACTGCTACCACATGGGAATCCAGGTAAACAGGCTTAGAAAAACTGAGACGTCTGGAAAGACACAGTAAAAATTATACAGAAAATACAGTATCTAACAGTACAAATGGCTAATGTAAAAGCAGCTCCAGGATGCAGCCAAAAATCTCTTCACTTGGGACTGCACTCACCCCAGCTATTCACACTGGATCTGCCCAGTTCCTGAAAATAGCCAGCCAGGTGTGCAGTATCTGAAAATTGCGGTCTAATGAAAGGCAACAGTTAGGGCACTGCCCTTTAGCCCCACTGTCTTTCATAGAAGTAAGACAGATACATGACTGTCCCTTTTCCACCCACAGAAACAAAAATTTCACACAAAAATTGTTCGTAAGGAGTCAGAAAGAAGTAAAATCAAGATGATGAAAAATAATCCCTTCTTACTCTGCGATTTGGCAAGTTACCTGAACTGTTTATTATCCAGCTGCTCTGAAAGTAAGCTGTGAGATACGGGTTCTCAGTGTTACATTATTAAATGCAGAGGTATATTATTAAAACCCTTCAAACTCTCCAAATGAAAAGTAGTTCATACTGCTCCTGTGTATTTCTTCTCATGATGTCAGTTCTCTAGATGACTGTGTCCTCTGCTAAAGTCATCCTCAAGGTAGGGGACTGTTGATCTACCTGTCAAGTTGTTCCTCACCTTCACATATCCTTGGCATTGGGCAGTCTCCAGTTCTCATCTTGTAATCTTTTGGCTGGTTCTGACAACTCCCAGTTTCTCATTTCTTTCAATGCTGGATCATTTACTTGAATCGGTTCTTTGAAAAAGAAAAGACCTTTTTGCAGACTTCTGATGTATTTCTTCCTTCTCCTCCAGGGAATCCAAGACAAATTGCTTTATTCTGAAGGTCGTCTTTCACTAGCGCATCCCAGGTCCTCTGCTTTTTAATCAAACGGAGAGACTGTGCTCTGCCTCCACTGCCAGACTTGTTTACCAGTAAATATTCCAAAAATATCAAGAACCACCATTCTACTTCCTCCCAAATTGCCTTTTATGCATGGGAAGAATTTCTTTAATTAATTTCAGCTCCGAAACTCTTTGCTATAATTCCAAACAGCTGCTGTGGTGTCCCCACTGTTAATGAGCTTTGTCTTCATACGACTGGGAGAAGGACAGAAAGGGCCGTGCTGGCTAAAATTGTTTTAAATTGGTTTTCAGCATGCAAAATAAACTGGACAGCTCCTGCGTGAAACTGATTGTAGTGTCACTCCCCCCTCTGCAGAAATATAATCTGTCTGGCTGGTAAGAATGAGACTCACAACAGGGGCAGAAGGTATTGACTTTTCCACTTTTTTGAAAAAAAAAATTATTTTTTTTTCTGCAAATTGACTGAGGCTGTTTCATCTGAATTGTCATTCTTAAATAATTGTCCTAGTAGGAGCAGTACATTTCAACCTCATGCCATCCTTTGGAAATTTAGGCTAGCTGTTAGCTAGAGAGATGCAGCCTGACATTCTGAACCTACACACAGTGTGAAAAATTGCTTTGATAAGGTTGTGTTTATAATTTGAGGCAGTAAAATAGAATTCTTACTAATTGTGTTTAAAGCATGATGTATTGTGTAATCCACAGAGAAACTCATTCCAAAAACACTGTAACCATAAAAACAGCTGTTCCACTGAGTCATTTTCCTAATGTGCAACTTAAAACAAAGCAAAACAGAGAAAAAGCCTCTCCCGGTTTTAACTGATTTGTGCTGAAATGATTATAGAGCAGGATAATGCTAGGAATGTGGGGAAAAACAACAGAAGACTCATCTCCACATTCCTTTTATACCAGAAGTTTGGAAACAGAAAAAAGAGCCTTTGGAGTTAAAACCAAGAAAAACTTCAGTTTTGAAGAGAAATTGGTACCTAAACTAAATGATGAACAGCAAGACATGTATTGATAGTCAAAAATCATTTGCAAAGATAAGAATGAGTCAAAGATTAGAAGGAATGGAATTAAAGTGATGAAACGAGATACTTCAGTTAAATACCTACAAAAAAAAATTCTTGCCACGTATGTGCATGTGTGCATATGTTCATGGTTGTTGTATAAGTATAATACAGTCTCTGGAAGAGAAGATAGTAAGATCTGGTAAAGGAGGTGGAGGAAATGGCACTACATAAAAGGAAAATAACATGTACTGCAGGCACTACTCTTTCATCAGTAGAAAACTGAGTGAACAAGTGAACAGCCCTTTTCATATTTAGGATGACCCGTCATAAACTAAGTTCTATAAGAATGAGCCTTATACTGAATTCCAAACAAGGTTAATTTTTTTTTCTTGGGGAAAAAAAAAAAATAGAACATTTAATGTTTCTATTCTATGATTGTTGCAGGGACCAGAATTTAATTTTTGTAGATCTGCAATCCAGAGATGTTTACTTCCCGTATTGTATGCCTTGGAGATGCAGAGCTCCAAAAAGCACAAAGATGTGACATGCATGTGTTTTTCTTGTTTGCAGATGTCTCAATAAGCTTGCTCTCCCTAGTTGTCACAGCCTGTGGTCTTGCTCTGTTTGGTGTCTCTCTGTTCGTGTCCTGGAAGCTTTGTTGGATCCCTTGGCGAGAGCGTGGTCTGCCATTTGGGAACAAAGACAACAAACAAGAATCACTGAACTACACAGATACAGAGACCAATGACCATGACTACAGTGAGGATTATCTGGGACAGCCTACAGCCTATCCAGAGTCCTCCATGAAGATCAGCCACACCTCCCCTGATATTCCGTTAGATGCTCAGGCGGGAATGAAGGAGAACTGCATACACAATGTGCGAATGCATCGTCAGATCACTGAACCAACCTCTTCTGCTCGGTCAGTAACTCCAATTTCTCTCTGCTATTGATGAATACAGATACAGTCAGAAGAGCACAGCTTGATTATCCAGTACACTGATCTATTAAAAATGCATAATTTACTTTCCACATTCTTTTTTTAAAAAATTACACAAAAGTTATTCTTTGAGGTGCACAAACCTCTTAGGTTAAAAGGACAGAATCACAATGCTACTATCCACTCTTCTATCAACTACTGTCTCGTTTGTGCCTCTCCCTCAGAAGCTGGACAACACAGAGCACTGTGTGTCCTGTAAAGCACCAGAACAGCCTAGATTTAGCTTGTAAAGCATACTCATTTGCACTTAGCACTGATGCTGAACACTCAGTAATATCTTCTCAAAGATTTTTAAAACAGCCAAAGAAGAAAAGTAGGGCAAGCTAATGAAACACTTGCAAGAGTTAGATATAGGATTAAAAATCATAGATTTTAGCCGCAATCATGACGGGGGGGGGGGGGGGAGAGGAGAAAAAAAAAAAGT